TGATCACGATCTTCAATAAGCCGACCAATCAGTGCGGCCCTATAGCTTAGCACTAAAACCTTTAATTCGAAGCAGGACCGGTCCAAGCCTCCATGGGGCCCCAAGTAAAATGTATTTTTGGGCCCTTCTATTTATACCAATTATAGCTGAAATCCACCATAAACTCATTGCAGCTCTGTCAACAGTCTCCTATTCTTGAAGAGCGTAAAATACAAAAAAATGAAGAAAATAACTAAATCAAACCAAATGAAATAATCTGTTCATATGGCAAAATCATTTTACTTTTCTTCATTATTTCTCTTTTACATTTTATTTTTGATTTTTTTACTTAAAATTTGAAATCTTCAAACAAGATCAATTATTAACACTTCTAAATATGTTTTTTTATGTTAGTAAGAACCAAATAATTTGCAGTGCACGGCACGCATTATGTAATGTTATTAAAAGTAACATTAATGCTGTTTATTTAAGGTTAAAGTGTTGCAACAGCAAAATCAATGTGCAGAAATAACTCTTGATAAAACAAAATAATGGCTTTTTAAGGTAAAATAATAAATCAAAATGTTGAAAAGCAGATATTAAATCATGTTAACATTAAAATATGGAAATAAAACGTTACCTGTGTGTTTGCTACAACAAGGATAAAGAAATCATTATAGATTCAAAAAGAAAAGAACAAACAAGCAGACGCTTAGTTTGCTTCTGTCTTGGGCCGACTGATCCGAATTTTAGCATTTCTATGAAGCAAATGTATTTTCACCTATTTACAATTTGATGGTTAATGGAAACCTGGCTGCGGACGTCGTCCATCCCGTCCTTCTGAGCACGGCGCTACACTGAGTGATAAATCCACAGAAAAAAAAAAAGTCTGACGCTTCGGACGTCACACCTTCATTAAACAAGAAGCTGAAGGAACACACGGAGCAATGCTGCCCTCACAGGGACACAGCAGCACCGAGGGCGGCGGGAAGCGGTCGGATTTCACCTGGATCGGGTCCAGCGCTCCGCGGAATGCCCACTAAGCAAACAGAACTAACACCTTCAGCACCCTCCCCACAGAAAACCTACACGGTGGAAAGAGTCCAAGTTATTAGAAGGGCACCGCACACGTAACAAGGGCGGTCTGTTTCTTACAACACACGCCTCCATATGGGCTGGTAATTATCAGGAGACGAGGCGAGGACGTGAACGCGGAGCTTCACAGTGAAAACAGACGACCAAAATCTGTGTCATCCAGTAACAAAGCGTCATAAATGATCCTTTCTTAGTGCCACAATCTGAACAAAATAACAGCAAAAATGAGCAATTCAAGACAACAATGCTCACCTGTGAGAGCATGGAGGGAGGCGGGGGGGTGGAGGAGATGACACAGCAAGCAACTTTCCTTGCAGCTCGTTTCAAACCGAGTCCAGACAACATGTACACCACCACACCACTTCCACCTGCAGTATTCTCAGGCTGCCTTCCATCTGCACGCTAGGAAACGATAGCCCTGATTGCCTCTAATGGGCCTTTCTCCCAGCGAGCTAAGTGCTCAAGCAAGCGGCCGATGAGCTGCAGAATGCTGCCACGTCTGTGGTGCATTTGCAGCGGCAATCTGGGGCACTTACCGTCATCAAACATGCAAATGGAAACAACGCTGCGAGTGAGTCTGTGTGCTGTTCAAACAGCCGATTGTTGTCAGAACATCCCACTTAAAAGGGGCTTTGCAATTTAAGCATGTAATATGAGAGGACACAGACGTAACCTTTAAAAGAAAAGAAAAATGACACTTTCAACAGAGGAGCTTCATGATTCTGCAGCTTCTGCAGCTACAAGTCTTATACAGATTCAACTGGACGTACACAACACAATCAGCCATTCAAATCCGCAGCCAAACTTTGAACACAAAGGTGCCCTGTTACAAACCGGAGAGGTAACTTGACTACAGGTCTGTGTGAGACTTTGACAGCCGTGTGTTTGTCAGGGAAGGATGAGCCGAAACATGCGCCGACATGTCTGCACAGGTGAGCTCCTCTCAAAAACGACAGCCGACCAAACGCCCTGCAGAAGCAGCCATATCCTTCAGCTGCATCATATTTAGTCACCTTACAGTCTCATCTTACTCTGGGTTTCAATGGAATTTAATAACATAGATCAGCACAAAGTAGAAAATAACTGCAAAGCAGTGGAAAGGGATTTTATTTAAATATAAACGATTAATTAAACCAAAGACAGGTCAAACTGCTTAAGGCCTGAACACTATGGAAGAGGATTAGGGCCACTGAAAAAATAAAATAAAAAAGTTAACTGACTTTTAAATTTTATTTCAGTTTAACATGTGAAAAAAGTCAGAATTCTGACTTTTTT